TGCCCCTTTTGCTGTCCCAATAGCAAATGGGAAAGGGACGTTGAAGGAAGAGACAAAACGCCAGCGTTTTGCCTGTACGCGTTGATGTTGTTTAGCTGTATATGGACAACGTCATTTTCCTTCACGCCATGTGAACGTTGAGTCTCTTTTGGAACAAAGAAATGGGTCGGGTGGGCTGGAAATAATTGGAATCCAATTAGGGGCAAATGGGTTTGTTTGGCTGAAATATTGTCACGACCCAAATCCGGACCGCGACTGGCACCCACACTTACCCTCCTATGTGAGCAAACCAACCAATCTAAACCTTAACATTTCAATATAATATAAACAGAAAGTAATGCGGAAGACTTAAACTCATAAGTAAAAATAAATAATCAACTTCTATAACTCAAAAACTTATCATTATCCCCAGAATCTGGAAGTCATCATCACAAGAACATCTACTTTAAACTACTAATTCTAAGAGTTTCTAAGAAGCTAAAAATACATAAGAAGCTAGTCCATGCCGGAAGTTCAAGGCATCAAGACATGAAGGAGAAGATCATGTCCAAGCTAGAAGCGTTAGCTCACCCTGACGATCCGGTGTGACGAAGACTGGCTTGAGTTACTGTTGAGTCGAAGATGACTGCACGTTTGCTGCACTCCACAAATAACAAGAAGAAAAACATAAAAGTAGGGGTCAGTACAACCCACGGATACTGAGTAGATATCATCGGTCAACTCAAAATAGAGAACAGTATATATCAAGTAATATCATAAATCAACTATAAAACTCAACATGTAGCAACAACAAGTACTATAATCATCAGTAAGTACCATCAAGTTCATCCATGAGGGCTCAAGCCTCAACACCATACTCATTTGGGAATTAAGTTTTATTAAATTGAGTATATTATCATCTTCCAAGATTCATTATCTTTCTTCCTCTTGTGTCGGTACGTGACACTCCGATCCCCTACTACTATGTGTCGGTACGTGAATCTCCGATCCCCTAATTCTATGTGTCGGAACGTGACACTCCGATCCCCTACATGTGTCGGTACGTGACACTCCGATCCCCTACATGTGTCGGAACGTGACACTCCGATCCCCTACATGTGTCGGTACGTGACACTCCGATCCCCTAATTCTATGTGTCGGAACGTGACACTCCGATCCACTAATACTATGTGTCGGTACGTGACACTCCGATCCACTAATACTATGTGTCGGAACGTGACACTCCGATCCACTAATACTATGTGTCGGAACATGACACTCCGATCCACTAATATCATTCTGTAAATCATCAAGCCTTCTCTATACCAAGGCATCATCAATCTCATTACTTTAATTCATCAAGCCTTCTTCTATACCAAGGCATCATCATTAATAATGTATATTAAAGTTTCTTTTCAAGATTTGGGATTCAATATTTTCATCATGCTTATCTTATCACAATCACATAATCATATTCATGCAAACATACCATTAAGCATATAGTAGGGTTTACAATACTACCAATACATATCATTCACTATTGAGAGTTTACTTATGAAAGCATGAAAACCATAACCTACCTCCACCGAAGAATTGGAATCAACAAGCAATTTCCCAAGCTTTGATATTCCCTCTGCCTCTTGATCGATCAATTTCTCTCTCTCCTTGTTCTCTCTATTTTCTTTATTCAAACCCTCTTTCTTTTACCCTAATTAACATATAATTAAGAATAAAAAATGGCAATAATAACCCACTAATTAACTTAGGGTTACCTCTTTTAACCCCCAAGAATTTGAGTTATTAATATAAACCCACAAAATCTATAATTAAGGAAGGAATAGTCCAAAAACGTCCCTTAAAACGTGTAAGGAAATCCGATTCTGCCTGGGATTTGCGCAACCTGTGACGGGCCGTTGTGCCTGCGACGGTCCGTCCTGCAGGTCGTCGCAAGAGTCAGAGAGTCAATTTCCACTGAACAATCTATGACGGTCCGTCACGCCTGTGACGGCCCGTCCTGCCATTCCGTCACGAAGTTCAGAGAGTCGATTTTCAGTACCCAATTTCAGATTTTCTAAGTGTTTTGAAACGAGACCCTGCGACGGTCCGTCGTGCCCATGACGGATCGTCGTTTGGTCCGTCGCCTCAGCCTGTTTTTCCAGAATTGAAGTTTGTTGCTCAAAATGACTAAACAGGTCGTTACAAATATGATGGTAATTAACTTGGGATTGAGCTAGAGAATATGCTAACAAATGGCCCATTTTTCAGGGTCTTAACAAAAGTGGGTTAAAAATATTTTGCCGATAATAAGATAAATGAATTAATTAGTAAGTTTCTTTAGTGTTTAATGAAATACAAAAATTAACTTAATTACAAACTAAATTATCTATACATAAACTATAACCGAACTAATTAGTATTAAACGGAATAAATTTTTTTTGAGGCAATTTTTGAATAAACGAACAATATATTGATCGTATATATAATTACAAACATATATATCATCTAAAAATTATAAAAGTGATAGGATTAATTTAAAATAACTTTAAAACATTTAAAACTTTATAAAAAGCCAATTATTTTAAAATCATTTTAAAATTAAGAAACTTGCTAATTAATTTTCTAGTGGGGAGGGTCAAAATTGGGTGTCAACAAAAACGGTGCATCTAAGTACGCATAAAGCTTATTTGACTTGTAATCTACACACTAGAATATGGAAATATCCGTTGGGTTCAAATCTAAAGCATATACAAGATTTTGAAACTTGTTTATCAATCTCATAAAGATAAAATAGATTCAATATGCATAAAGCATATACAAATATTTTTATGCAAGTTAACGACTAGAATTGAAACACTTGAAGAGTTTTCAAAAGGCAGTAGATTATTTGCTTAAAGAAGTTGAAGGAACTTGTAGAAATATTTGATTCTGAATAGAAGATTCATAAAAGGACATAGAAGGAAGCTTATTTCGTCAAAGTTTTTCGCTCCCAAGAATGGTGATATCAACATGCATACGTTTGTTCAAATAATAATATAGTTGATTTATCCATCAAGTCTCTATTAACTACAACTTTCAAGAAGGTGGTGCACAAATTTGGAAAACGAAGATTCAAGTCTGTGGATTGATGTTCTCATTAGGGGGAGTTAATACGTCATGTATTCTTTTTTTCCTCATAAGATTTTGTCTCATCATCCTTGTAAGGTTTTTAATGAGACACTCATAATGCTTATCTTAAGATATGCGTACTCTTTTTCTATCACTAGATTTTTTTTCCACTGGATTTTATCTAGTATGTTTTTAACACGGCACATAATCTACCGACATTCGAGGGGGAGTGCCATAAACATATTTGTATTATAGTGAATGTTTATCATGTGGAGTCCTGTTAAGATATTGTTAGAAATTCTAATTGGGGACCAAGTTAGGTTTCCCCTATAAATAAATGAGTTTTCCTTCATTGTAAATCAGATCCATGAATGTTGAATACTTCAAGATGAATAAAAAGTTTTTTCTCTTCTCCGTACTTTATTATTCTCATTGTTTTATATTATTTCATAACAAAAACTAAATTATAATATAGCCAAAACAGTTTTTAAAATTATAATATAGAATAAAAATTGTTTTAAATTTTTTTCTTACATCAAGGAATAAAAGAAAAAATAAAATAAGAATAAGAAACTCAAATAATGATGATCAAAGAAGTCAAGAAAATATGGGTAAAATATGAGTAAATACGGATAAAATATGGATTAGCCAAATAGATTAAGCTTTTATCTTTTATTCATTCAAAATTTATGATGTCACCAAAAATATTGTAACTTCTCTTCCTTTTTATGTTCTTTTATAAAACTAATTATTGTCCTCTACAATTAAAAGGTGAAGTCTTTGACCCTCCAAAAATTTATATTTTACATGTATATTTTTTTTGTTGGTTATAACTATTTTTTATTTGTTTGATTTTATATTGGATGATAACTAATAGCATAAAATAAGCAAATCATGTATTAGTATTGACATTTCTTAAAGTGCTCTAAGCATGTTTTAGTCCTAAAATGCAAATATTTATTTATTTTGAAAATAAAATTGGCATAATGCAGAATTACCCCCTCAACCTATACTCAATCTCATAGACACGCTTATACTATACTAAGGTTCTATTACCCCCCCCCCTGAACTTATTTTATTACTCTCTCCGTTTAAAAAAGAATGACCCTATTTCCTTTTTAGTCTGTTTCAACAAGAATGATATCTTTCCTTTTTTGGCAACACTTTAACTTTAACTTTTCACGTTGCATGTTTAAGACCACAAGATTAAAGGTTATTTTGGTACATTTGACATAACTTTAATTTAGAAACACAAGATTAAAAGGTCTTCTTTCTTTTGTTAAACTCCGTTCTAAGTCAAACTAGGTTATTCTTTTTGAAACGGAGGGAGTAATAATTTTCTACCCCTTTTTGGCCTACGTCGCACTATCTTGAGGGTCCAACGCTGGTTGATTTCTTTTCAAACTAGTGTCACGTAGGCCGAAAAGGGGTAGAAAATTACTTATAAAATAAGTTCAGATGGGTAATAGGACCTTAGAATAGTATAAGTGTGTCTCTGGAATTTCAGGCATAGGTTGAAGGAGTATTTGTGCATTTTTCCTTAAAAATATGTTCCCCTTGTTATTATATAAATTTATTTTATTTTGAAAAATTTAGGATTTGTTTTTACTTTTATGGTACACTAAAATTAAATGAAGCATTTTCAACATTTTTTTATCTAAAAAAGACTAAAACATTTTCTCCATGTTGAATTCTTAAGTAGAGTATTGTTTACTCATAAAAATATGGGTAAAATATGGCTAAACTAGTATTTTACCCAATCCATTTTTACCCATATCAAATATGAGTGCATTAAATTATTACCTATTTTATATTGACCAATTTTCAACCTGATTAAATTTGATGTAATTCATCCATTTGTCACCACTTCGCTATAACAAAAGGGGTGGTCTGCTATACATAACAACAAAAACAACTTTTAGCGGCATTAAATATTGACATTAATAAAGAGTGCTAAAGTCTTTACCGGTATTAGTTAAGTGTCATTAGAACCAATGTAGCTAAAGGCTTTAGGGACCTATATAAAGAGTGTCAATTGCCGCTAAAAATACATATTTAGCGACGATTTAAAATTAATTACCGCTAATGATCTTTTTTGTTGTAGTGATAGTACCCTTTACTATAACGAAGGTCAAATTACATTATTTCATGTTTAAGTTAATTGTTTGCTCAAGTCTTGATTATAAATTTTCATACTTGACCAGAGAACACCTAGTGCGAGCTTTTCAAGGCCTAAATAGAGGTGGCTCAAGCGTATTAGTGGCCTAAAATAAAAATTAAATGAGGCCTTAAACATAAATTGTTAATAACTTTTATACAATTGATTTCTTCTAGTTTTTATCTGATAATATAATTATTCTTTAAATTATTTTTCATGAAATATAGTACTCCAAATATGTCAAATTTCTTCTGATAATTTCTTCATCTTCCATGAAGTATTCACTTTTTCTACAAATACTCTTCAACATTGTTAAAAAATACTAATTTATAACCTATTATAATTAAAAATGAGGCCCCTTAAATTTGAGGGCCTAAGACACATGTCTTTTTTTTTAACACTGTCGAGTCAATCCTCGGCCTAGGGTTATTTTTTTCTTGAGTTAAGTAAATTTTTTAATCTATTTTTCCTTCTAAATTTACTTTTTAATTTTAATAGAATTGAAGGGTGTGTTCTTCATAGAACATGACCTGAAACTTAGAATTATATTGCTAAGGCAGAACGTTGAATTATTGTAGTTATAAGTGTTTTTCATTCTTCTGCATTGAATTTGGTCTTCTATTAATCTATGCTATAATTTTGGTATTAGGGAACCTAAGTAAAACCTCATAAAGATAGGTTGTTAAGTATGCAAACTGTTCAACAAAAGTTAATGAGATAAAAACTCTATGAACGGTATTAGGTTGATAATTAAAACCTATGATTTGATAAAATAACCCTTAACTATTTGTTTGATCTTCTAAAATAGTAGAAATAGGAGTTTGAATAACCAAGACCTTCATTTGATAACGTAGGATATTAAAAGTGACATTTATTTTAGACCTTGAGGGTTCAGAAGCGCTGAGGAAAGAAAAGACTCTGCTAATGAGCTTGTTCTCTTCCAATTCATCGGTTGAAGTGGCGTACGATTTATTTGAAGTCAGACTTTATTTAGTCACCAGTATATAATGTGAGATGTATGACATGTTGACTTGGTCTTTGGACATAGTTGTTGATTGCGTGATGAAACTAGCCGGTGTTGCTTGTTAGATTTCATATGCAAATTATTGAATAGACTTAATCATTTATGATATGTTTTATCAACTTGTAAATAGTACTCGAGTCATTGGTATAATAATCATGAATCGAAGACATTAATGATATAGGCTATCATTATTTTAAGAGAAAAGAGTCAAAAATACCGTGTAACTTTATTTTACTGATTGACTATATTATTACCATTAAAATGAAGTTATTCTTACGCATGCCATTACTAATTTCATTATTTTGATGTAAACAACCTTTTGAGTGAACTATGTATTAGAGGACAGACATGTTTCGTATGTGTCTCGACTTTGCAGGTCATTGAGATTAGTTCTTTTGCTTATAATAACATTTATCACTCCAACACTGATATGGTCTCATTTGAAGCATGAGAATGCCAAGCCCACTCTGATGAGGTTGCTATAGTCGGATTGCTTCATTAAGAGGCCAATGAATATATTCTTTGACATTCTCATCAAGTAGATAAATCATTTTCCCCATCGATTTTGTTATGCTAGACTGCGATCGATGTGGATGTTGAGGTGTCTATCATTCATTCTCACAAGTTCAAGCATTAGTGAGAAAAGATGAGGTGAACTTTTGTATGCGTACTCCTATAAAGTCAAATTAAAGGGTATATTATAAAAAAAATGTCTTTTAACTTGGCTAATATGTTCTTTAACTTAACTTCAAATTATATTTATGTTCTTTAACTTTTTATGTGCATAAATATACACTAAATTAGTATAGTATAGAATTTTTATCACCGACACAACTCGCAAGATCAATTAGCCAGGCCAAGAATATTAGTTAGTTGAAAAATTAAGAAGTAGACAAAGCTTGTTCAGAAAATTTTAAAATATTTTCTTCAAATACATTAAATATAATTTCGTGGGTTTACAAAAGATAAGAGTTTCTTAATGAAAATACAAAAGTAAGTAGTACTAGTATTCTACGTTAATTGGTTCCTTCAAACTCTCACAGTGTTTGTTTAAATTGGATTTAAATACTTTAAAAATAATATTTTCGCCTAATTTTTTGAACATAATAAAATTATTTGTATATATATATATATGTTTTTCTTCCTGTCAATTGTACCCACCCACAGCATACAAAAATGTTGCAGTATCGCAATAATAATAATAACAACATAACTTTTATCTTATTAGAAATTGAACCGACAGAAATTAGTAATGACAACAAAATGTTATAAAATGAACCGGCATTTAACAAGAAACATGACAGCCAGCCAGCCTATAAAAGATAAAGTTTCCCCAATTTTGCTAACTCCTAAAAGTAAAATTAATTCATCATAAACATAATCCTCAAAAACTCACTCGGAAAATTAAGTTCCAAACACATAATAAACCACTTAAGGTATTCATACATAAAGTAATCAAAACTATAACTTATCTTTAATAAGAAAATAAGAAGAAAATCCACGTTAAAAACAGAGCAAAATACAAGATTAAGAAAAAAATGAATGAAAACACAAGTATGATTAAAAAAAAATTAATCACCTCCATCCATATAAAACTTGTGTACACTTATCTTTAAACCATCTTAAACTCCGCCTTAAAGAGCCTTTCACTTTGCCTTCAACAGAATAAACTTTATAACTAGCAACTCTTCTCTTCCTCTGAAACTCAGGATCATTGAAATTCCAAGATGACCCACTAGTGCTTTTCCCTTTCTTAAGCTTCGAATCTTTGTTGTGATGGGCTGGAGGTGGTGGTAAGGGTGGTGCACCAACAGAAGTTGCACCGTAACCATTAGAAAATTGGGGTTCACGATATTGTTCAATACCATCACCATAACATTTTGATCTATAATCATCCATGATTATTTTTTTGTTAATTTTAGCTAAGGAAGAAAATCAATTTTTTTTTTAAGATAGGTATGGAAGGGGAGAAATTTTTGGAGAAAGTGGGATGCCAAACTGCCACAGAACAAGATGTGCTGTGAAAAGACTTAATTTTTAATTTGATTCTAGAGATTGGCGTTTTGAAACAACTTGTGTTTTGGGCTCAAGAAAATAAGAGGTTGACTAGTCAACTTTGGTCCATGAAATCTGCTATATTCCATCACTTATACTACTATTATTCTTTTTATTGAACCGTTTGTTGTATTTTGTCTGGTTTTAATTAAAGAAACTTATTCGTATCGATTATTTATATCAAATTAATGCAAAATATATTATTACATTATTTATCAAAAAACTCGCACAAAGATGTTAGAGGTAAATTTATAATCATACTAGGAGCGATTAAATTAGAAATGACAATATTTAGAAAATAATAATCAAGAACGGAAAATTATAGCAACAATCAATTTTATTATTACAAATACGAGTGTTATAATCTCTATGATTCCTCTGAATTCACCTTTTCAAATATATATTCAAGAGCTTTAAAGTTTGTTCTTAAATCCCTAATGAACTTGAATTTGAACTTTATCTTGATCTTGACTTTTATTTGAATTCAAGGGCTTCGAGTTTGTTCTTGAATTTGATGATCTTGATCTTTGATCGTTCTTAAACTTGAATGCTTGAATTTTTGAACTTGTAATTTTGTAGAGAATTAAATGACGTTTGTACCACGGATTTTCTCTAGCTTCTTGTTTAGAATTTTATGTTCCCTTTTTCTGAATTATGAGACCCCTATTTATAGTTTTAAAAAAGAGGAGTTGTGATTGGAACAGGACTCCATTCGGCCAATCAGATTTAAGTGAAATATCATATGGACTTTATGGAGCGGGCTTTACTTAAATTCATATTTATCTGAAATTAAATAATTAAATTAATTATATTAATCCATAATATTTATTTGGACTAATATGTTCATTAATTTAATATAATCCGAACAATTTTATAAATTTATATTTAATAAACTTTAAGTGACTACAAGGTAGTGATATCCATGGTAGGCAAGATGAGAGAAGCGGGATTGAAATGATTTAATTTGAACATGTGAAGTAGAGATGTCTGAATGAACCAGTGAGGAGGTGCGAAAGGTCAATTATACAATGTAAGAGGAGAGGCAGAAGTAGATCAAAAAGTTATTTTGAGAAAGGTGGTAGAACAAAATATGATGCAACTTCAAATTATCGAGTATATGACCTTAGATAGGCGGGTGTAAAGGACATATATTAAAATAGAAAGTTAGTAGGTAATGTAGTGTTGTTTTGCTTTGGTTAGTTGGTGTCTTTCATTATACTAGTTGTATTACTGTATTTCTTGGTTTTGACATCCATCATATTTATTATTGTTTTAACACTCTATCCTAATGGTGTTGTTTATTGTGTTTAATTATTCCACTACTTTTTTTTGTTATTGTTGTTGCTGTTGCTGCTTCCCTCAGTAGACTTGACATTGTTTCTTTGTGACTTGTTAGATTTTTTTTTTATATTTGAAATTGTTATATTTGAGTTAATGGCTTTTCAGAAATAGTTTCGTTATCTTTCCGAGTGGATAAAATATGCATATACTTTACCTTAAACTCACTTGTACTAATTTACTGAATATTTTATTGTTGTTGTCGTCAAAAAAAGTAGTTTATTTCTCTAGCCATTTAAGAAAAAATTAATACTAGTAAATATTACTTAATGTAATTTATTCTTTTATCTAATCTTTCTTCAACATATTACTCTATTAATGATAATAAGAAAAAAATTGAAAGATTGTTCTTAATTTTCTAAAGTAAATACGTAGAAGGGAGAAAATACGAGGGATAAAGTCTCCTTTCCCTTCCTTAAATGTCATTAGTCATTACGCATTCCTACAATAAATTCAACGCTTACTTATCTTCCATTCTCACAAATATTATTCTCTTAATGATAAGAATAAAATTGAAAATATAATATTTTTTCTCAATCTTGTAAAATAACAAACATTGTAGAATAACTATTTTTTCACAAATACGTAGTGAGAAAATACGACTACTTCTTCAAAAGTCTCCTTTTCCTAAAAAGTCATTATGCACTCCTAACAATAAATTCAATGGATACTAATCTTTCGTTCTGTTGGATGGAAAATTAGGGAAGAAATAGTTTTCGTTTATGACTTATTCCTCGAAATAATAATTAGTTTATCCAAGCACTATGTTCCCATTTGCTTTTATTGAACTTAATTAAAAATTTTAAATTTTGAAAATATATTATATTATGTTAAGATTGAATTTTAAATAATCAAATATGCTTTATGTTCTCAATGTATAAATTTATCTCTGTTTTAGAATTAATCAATATAAATTTGAATAATAGTATTATACTAGTATACTAATAGTATTTCTTTAAAAAACATGGTGATGGTGGTTAACATTTGTGGGCGTGGTTGATGACTAGCATTGGTGATCGATAATAGTTAAAGGTAATAGCTAGTGGTGATGATGGCCAACCGTAATGGCTGAAGATAGTGTTATTGATGGGAATGATATTGGGTCATTTAGTAGAGTTTATTAGTATTCATTACTTTTGAGTATTATTAATTACTAATTTGTTTGGTACACTTTATTAACAAGTTTTTAAGAAGGAAAAACAATAATTAGTAATTATCAATATCAGTTCAGTCGAACAGACACAAAAACAGATTGATGCAGATGCAGAGCAAATCATACAGACAAAATCATACTCTAGCTGATAAAAATATTATCCAATTCAAGTTCCAAGTATGATACAAGTCATCAACACAGGAAAAAAAAACCTATACAAGGCATCACAAACAGAAACTATCACACAATACAGATGAACGAACATATTGTCGTCAAAAGCGTTCCCATACAACAAAACGAAAAAAAAAGAAGAAGAAAAAAGGCCAAGGATTAAAATGAAATATACTAAATTCAAAGACATCCAAAACCTGAAGTTGTTGTGGACTTACAATACAAAAAGACAAAACCAACAAAATTTGTAAATAAGTCCAACTAAATTGGAAAACTACAATTCCCACGGCGAATCACAGAAACTGCAGTTTCCAAGTTTTAGTCCACTGCGGCTCTAACTAACCTAACAATAAAATATTAAATTACTTAATATAACGAAAAATTCACCTCACAGAACCAAAATCACCTCAAAGAAGATCGGCCACATTGGCTGGCAGCTCCTCAACTACAACATTGTAAAACTTCTGAATGTCAAAAAGCATCCTTTCATCATCCTTTGTGACAAAATTGATAGCTACACCCTTCCTTCCAAATCGTCCACTACGACCAATACGATGCAAGTAGTTTTCTGGCTGAGTAGGCAGGTCATAGTTAATCACAAGGGATACTTGCTGCACATCAATACCACGTGCCAGAAGATCAGTAGTGATGAGCACACGAGATGATCCAGATCGGAACTCTCGCATAATGATATCTCTAGTGTTCTGGTCCATGTCTCCATGAGTGGCAGATACTGTGTGATCACGGCTGCGCATCTTATCAGTGAGCCAATCAACCTTGCGCCTGGTGTTCACAAAGATGACACTCTGGGTGATGGCTAAGGTCTCGTAAAGATCGCAAAGAGTTTCAAGCTTCCACTCTTCCTTGTCAACATTGACATAAAATTGCTTGATACCTTCAAGAGTGAGCTCATCACGCTTCACAAGGATCCTCACAGGCTTGTTCATGAACTTCCTAGTAATTTCAAGAGCCTCTGGTGGCATTGTAGCAGAGAAAACACCAACTTGAATCTTTGGTGGCAGCAATTGGAAAATATCATAAATCTGGAAAATGACAAGACAACTTTAAAATGAGACACTATATGTGAGCCTTGAGACCAAGAACTAAGGTCAAAGAACCAGCAATAATCCTGCAGCGATTCTATAAGATATCAAAGCATAATAAGGCTAATAATGACGAGAATAGAAAAAACTCCCATTCAAAGGTTAAGATCACATATGCACAAATCTATTACAAATCTAACATATGACTGTTGCATACGAATACTATACTTTACTCAACTATTACCCAAATAAAAAGAAAAAGGTAGCCCCACATTTGTGCCCTACTTCCCAAATCACAATGCAGAAACCTAATAAATAAGAAAATTCCACTTGAAGAATAAAAAAATGAAAGAAAAAATGGCAACCTGATCCTTGAAACCTCTTGAGAGCATTTCATCAGCTTCATCCAGAACAAACATCTTGATGTGGTCAGGGCGAAGAGACTGCCTACGCAACATATCAAATACACGACCAGGAGTACCAACAACCACATGAACACCACTTTGAAGGATACGCTGATCCTCACGGACACTGGTACCTCCTACACAGGCATGAACCTTCACACCAAGATAGTCACCAAGTGCTCGCATAACCTTCTCAATCTGTTGGGCAAGCTCACGGGTTGGAGCCAGAACCAGAGCCTGACATTCGACTAAGCTGTAATCAAGCTGCTGGAGAATCCCAGAGCAGAAAGTTGCTGTCTTTCCTGTACCAGATTGTGCCTGTTGAATCACATCAAGACCCTTGCAAAAAGGAACAATACCCCTTTGCTGGATAGCAGATGGCTTCTCAAAACCTTCAAGCAATTTAAGACAGGTGTTCAATGCCTTGCTAAATCTAACAAGGGAAAGGAAAACCACTTGTGTTATTAAGAAGTGCATTTACCATAGGCATAGATGCCCCTAAGAAGATTTTCTTGCAAACCCATGGCATCGAAACTGTCATGAACTTCATCATATGATGTAAAGAACTCCTGCTGTTCAGTCCCAAGCCTGTTTCGGCATATCAAACAAAAAAAAAATAAAACCTTGTGAGTGAGCACAGGATAGCTGCAATTGATAACTAAAGTACCCAAGGAGGAAATAAAACCCAAGTTTAGTTTTCTGCTGCCAGATAAAATTTCAATTGGTTAGAAATTA